AAAGATTGACAATTTCAGAAACCGTATGTAGGGTTGCTATGAACTGAAATCAGCTTGATGGAAGTGGGTTTGGAGCATTGCTTGAAAGGAGCCCTGGTGGGTTAGGCATTGCTAACCAAAACGTCTGTTCAAACCCACCAGCCGCTCCTCAGGAGAAAGATGGGCCAGTCTGCTGCCATAAAGATTTATGGCCTTGGCTGTGAACCAAAAGGCCAGTGTTTTGAACCTACCAACTACTCCTCAGGAGAAAGATGAGACAGTTTGCTTCTGTACAATTTTCAGTCTTGGGACTCCTTGGAGCAGGTCTACCTACTTTCCTATTACGGTTGCTGACTCAGAATCAACCAGATAGCAGGTGGGTTTTGTTGTTGTTGTTGTGGCCTTGAGTTTACTGTAAAAAAGTAGCAGAGTGGTAGAAACAGCATTGCCCTAAGGAGCTGAGAGCTTCAGTACCTGTCCTTTCACTTACCTGGTGAGAATGATTGGGATGCTCTGGTGACATAGAGGGGTAAGCATTGGGCTGCTAACTGCATGGTTGGCGGTTCAAACCTACTAGCCACTCTTTGGGAGAAAGATGAGGCTGTCTGCTCCTGTCAAGATTTATAGCCTCAGAAATCCCAGGGAGCAGTTCTACTCAGTTTTAGAGGGTTACTGTGGGTTGGGATCCGCTGGATGGCAGTGAGCTGGCCAGTGCTGGAAGGTTTTAGAGTGCTGCAGACGTGTGCAGTCTAGACGTGCAGCCCCCAGTACTAGCTGTGAGACCTTGGGTAAGCTACTTAACTTCTTCATTTGTAAAATGAGGGTGGTAATAGTACTTCCTTCCCTGGGTTCTTGTGAGGAGTCCGTGAGATGCCATGTGTAAAGCATTTAGCATAGTGCTGGTGCGGAGGAAGCGTTCCATCGAGCTAAGCAGTAACAAGGCCACTTCCCCGCTTTACACAGTAAGAGGCACCATTCCTCCGAGTTTCAGTGTTTTCGGTTGTTAGGAACATGTGCTCGTCTGTGATGGCGTTACAACTACCACTATTGAGCTCCTTTGTACCAGGCTCTCTACAAAGTGATATATGAACATTCTCATTTAGCCAACTGGATCTTTTTAAAAACCACTTCTGGTAGCGTAGTGGTTACGAATCGGGCTGCGAACCTTAAGGCCAGCAGTTCGAAACTACCAGCCGCTCCGCGGGAGAAAGATGAGGCATTCTGCTCCCGTAAAGATTTACAGCCTTGGAAACCCTGTACAGGGTCGCTATGGGTCGGAACCGACTTGACGGCACTTAACAACAACAACAAACAATTGCCATAGAGTTGGCTCCAACTCATGACAGCCCATGTGTTTCCGAGCAGAACTGTGCTCTCCAGGGTTTTCAGTGGCTGAGTTTTCTAAAGTAGAATGCCAGACCTTTTGTCCAAGTCACCTTGAAGTAGATTTGAATTGTCAACCTTTTGGTTACTAGTTGCCACCAGTGAAATTGTGAAGTGTGTTGAGTTGGTTCTAATTCATAGATACCCTGTACAGGGTTTCTGAGGAGCAGCTGATGGATTTGAACCTGCCAACCTTGTGGTTCGCAGTCCAGTGCTGATCATACAGTGACACACACCAGGAGTCCACCAATGATATGCTGTTATGTGCCGTGGAGTCGGTTCCGACTCATAGCCATCCTGCATAGAGTTTCCGAGGCTATAAATTTTTACGGGAGCAAAACGCCTCATCTTTCTCCCGCAGAGCAGCTGGTAGTTTTGAACTGACCTTGCGGTTCTCAGCCTGATTCATAACCACTACGCTACCAGAGCACCTTACCAATGATGTTGTTGTTGTTAAGTGCCGTCGAGTTGATCCCAACCCATAGTGAACCTGTGTAGGGTTTCTGAGGAGCAGCTGGTAAGCTTGAACCGCCAACCTTGCAATTCACACGGCTTTGCAGTCTGGTGCATTAACCCACAGTGCCACACCAGGGCTCTGCCAGTGATATAGGTACTGTTATTTTCCCCCATTTGCAGACATTAAGGACTAAGTAAACATTTCCCAACATCACACAGCTGAGTCCGCTGCCTGTTCCAATCATGTTTAAGTGATATGATCCTTACCACTGTGATCCGTACTGTGATCCCGATGAAAGGTGGATTTTGTGAACATAAACTTGGCTTGTTAACAAGCAGTTACTTCTCTAAAGGTGGGCAGTTAGGCAGCTAGCTCCTCCTTAGTGAAACAACAGGTCCAGCACTGGCCTGGGGGCTTCATTGTGTCCTTGGTCATTGGTCGGAGGCGTGGAAGAAGGCCAAATATTTGTTCAGCACCTGCTAATCTGGTTCCACTTACATCAAGTCTAATTTAAGCCTGATTCAGGCGAAGCCTCTGGAGTGGATATTGTTATTCCTATTTTATAAATAGATGAAGCTCTGCTTCAAACACTTCAAAGTTAATTCTTTCCCCAGAAAACAAGGTAGTTGTGGGGAAGGGGCAATTGTGGGATTGTGGACCAAGTGCTGGTGGAATAAGGCTAGAAGGGGTGCACTGCTGGGAGTCACCTTGCCTGCAGCCCGTCATGTGTATCCCTCACCTGGATCCCATCCTCAGTACAAAGGCTGAGAGGCCTCTGGTTCTTCGTGGGCAGTAAAGCAGAGTTGCCAGTCAAGCCCATGGCTCTTGGGCCTCCACTAGGCTCCTAGGCAGTCTCCAATGAAGAAATGCACCCACCCTTCTACCTCTACCCCCTGAAAGGATTTGGAGTTTTGCTTGGGTTTTGCCTGATAGTATAGGACAGAGGTTCACACTAAGGCTGATGGCGGGGTGGGGGAAGGTGCTTGGGAAGGACTATCCGGTGGATATCATTTAGGTATGGTGGCAGCTCCCCCCCCCCCCCTTAATGTTAATGATGCTAATTAATTAGGGCAGGAAGCTGACTTGGAGACAGAAATGGGCTGGAGTGCAAGCTGAGCTGGAAATACAGCGTATGGGTGGAGGCTGCACAGCCGCGCAAGTGGAGGAGGCATGGGCTGTGACCGGTGGTGATCGCCAGGAGAGCGCCAGGCGAATATTGCTTCATTGCTTCGTGGAGCTTCCCACGGCCCCGGATGGGGGAGGGAGGGTGAGGCTGCCACCTTGCCGAGGCTAAGCCCTGCAATGCTGAGCTGAGCAGTCACGGCTTCTGGATTCCACGCCGGCGAATCCAGTGCGCTGCCTACTACTGCCCGCAGATGCTGCGTGAGTGTTGGAAGCTGGGAGGAGCAGTGCTAGCAGACATCTTACCATCTTAACACTTCTTCCAAATCTGGGGGTCCCTCTTTCATCTTTGCCACTGTTTCCCGGAGGATAGGGGCTCCGCTGCTCTCCAGAAGGCACCCGCCCTGCACGGCCGCCTGGGGGGGGGCGGGGGTGGCGGGCGGGGCAGTATGAAAGATCAGTCCAGAAAGATTCCTTGTTCCCTTGCCTTCTCCTTCTTGCTTCCCCACTGAGCTGCTAAGATCTGGGTGACCTTGGCCCTTCCAGGAAGAGGCACCCTCCTCCTGCTCCCCTTGAGGGCAGAATGGGATGGATCGATCAATGGAGACTTTAGGCTGAAAGGTGGACGTGCCAAGTTACACTGGAGCACTAGGACGCTGTACAAAGTCCCCTCCTGACTCAGTGCTTCTCCTGGTCTGCAACCTAGGCAGGGTGCTGGGGGAGGCCCAGCTCACCGGGTCATGGATACGAGAAGCTGCAATCAACAGTCTGTGGATACACAGGGCAGGTGACTGCTTGGGCCGCCTACTGGGTCTGGCAGCTTTAGGGCCGGCTTGAACCTTTTTCCTTTCTTTGGAAAATGGAGTGGAGCTCGGGCTTGCAACCAGGAGACCTTCCTTAAAGTCCATCCCTGCCACTTCCGAGGAGCTGGGTGAGCCTGAGCTGCTTGCTTTCCACTTCACAAGGCCTTTTCTTCGTCTCCTTGGCTTTCAGGGCCATTGTGAGGAGGCTGGCAACCCAGGAAGCACACAGCAAATGTACTTACTCTCTGACTTCATAGAGAGTGAGTGGCTCAGGAAGCCAGATCGTGAAGTGGTAGGGACACGTTCATTGGCCTCTTGGTCCCGGGTTCTAGGTCTGGGAGTGGGGGTGAGGAACGCCCCAAATGGTGACGCACATGCGCCCTCCCCATGGCCCATGAGGCCCTCTTGCCTCCAAATTTCCTAATCCCAGACAAACGGGCAGCGCCAGCGATAGTAGGCTTCAGTGCCATATGGGAGAGTTTATTGGTAGACTCACGAATTATCCCGCCCACCCCTCCCACTTAGTTGATTACGTGATTGCTGCCCCTCCTCGCCTCTCTGGCTTCCATCCAGGGTCACACCACCTGCGAGCGGAGACCTCAAGATTAGGCCGAATGGCTGCCTACAAGGGGCGCTGCCGTTCGGGAAGAGGGTACAAGGACCAGGCTGTGGTATGTTGGAGATGCTGATTTTGCTGAAGGAGGAAACCTTTCAGTGTGACCACGGGACATAAGCCCCTTCTTGGGGACCTTAGTTCTTTCATGAAGGGGGCTAGAGAATTTTCGTCTTTATATTTTATTAACTACGGAACTTTTTGTTTAGAATAAATCTAATTGAGGCATGTTTAAATAAAATAAAAATGAAATATTTCAGTGCCCTGCTCTCCCTCCCTCATACACTCGACCTCCGACTTTTGACCTCCCCACAGACAAACACTTAGAAATCACTAAATCTTAACTCAATGGCAACTAAGAACACCAATAAACCTGATTACTTAGACCTCTGATTGGGAGATTCTGAATCACCCCTCCTGAGGTGTGATCCACATGGGGTGATCCACGTGGGGACCCGGACCTCAATTGCTCCTCCTTCCCGAGCCACTACCTTGCTGTGTGGCCTTGGCCAATGACTTTCCATTCTTTGGGCTTCCCTTTGTGGTCATGAAGGTGGGGCCTCCCAGCACTGCCCACCATAGCCCCCAGACATCAGGATCCGACCCTGGGACTTCATCTCACCCTGGCCTGGCCGTGGCATCATCATGCCCTGCACGGGTGGCACATTGGCAGCTTCAGCTTTGCAGAGCAGTAGCGGGTGCAACAGCGCTTGGCCGAGCGCAGGGTGGAGGCTCTACACATCACTCGGGGTCCTGGCAGGTGGATGCGTGTGGGCAGCCCCTCAAACCAGAACCACTGGCCAGCTGCATCCTCCTGCTTCATGTCCCCTGTGGGAGTTCTGAGGTGGTAGTTCTTGAGGAAGACCACTTGGGGGCCTCTAGTGGCTGCTTGGCTCCTCCTGGCCCCAGGGGTTAGGTAACAGCTCCTAGATGTCCTGGGAACCTCCAGTCTCATCTGCTCGTTCTGCTGCACTGCTTCAGGTGACCTCTTTGCCTTGTACTCCGACCCCACCTGGGCCTTTGCTTTCTTGAGCTTCATCTCCTTGGGTTCCTCTGTGTACTCTAATTTCTTGGACTTTGGTTTCTCCTTGGGGCACTCAGCCTCCTGGAGTTTTTTATTTTGTGTCATTCTACTGCAGCTGTTGTCCCTGGGAAGGAGAAGGGAGACAGTCAGCAGAGCAAGACTAGTGCCTTAGTCTCCTAGCCTAGTCTTGAGACAGTTGCTATGCAGCCAGCTCAATGGAGCCTGATAGAAAACTAGAGATTGCCTGAAGAGACCCTTATCTACTACCCAGAGACCTTGGACCTGTGGTTGTTAAGTGCCATCGAGTCAGTTCCATCTCAAAGCCACCTTGTATAGGGTTTCTGAGGCTTTTAAATCTTCACAGGAGCAGAGAGCCTCATCTTTGTCCCAAGAAGTGGCTGGCAGACTCAAACCACGGACTTTATGGTTTGCACTATGGTGCTTATTGTATGGAGCCGTTAGAAGACCTGCAATTATCCTCAGCTCAGAAATTCTGTTTTTATAGGTATTATTCTTGGGGCAGAAGTCGGGAAACCTCAGCTGCAGTGCAAATGAGACACCTTATGAAGGAACAAAAAAAATAGATTTCATACCACAGCCCCGTTTATTGGATTGTGGGCACTTCGGATGTGATTAAGTAATGACAGACGGGTGAGAGGTCCGGAAGGTGAAAGAACACCCACCTAGGGAGATAGGCATCTGCTACTAGGTCAGAATTCTGCCTCTCTAGACTTCCGGTGATAGGGAAATTAGTCTGGTGAGGTGTTTTTGGTTTTGTTTTTTCAAATTGTGTTCTCAGAAGCCTTAGAATTCTGAGGAAGGGCTCAAATGTCCCTCCCTGCGGGATTGAGCCTTAGGAGAACAGTATGCCTTCTCTCCCAAAAAACCAATGAGGAACTGAGGACGCAGAGCCTCAGCCAAATGAGCACTCAGACCTCAGGGTCCAGGTCTGCAAGAGAATCTGGGTTGTGTTGACTTGAGAGGGGGAGGGGCAGGAGGCATGACCCCTCCTCCTCAGGGTCCCAGGTTGTGGCTATCCCATAATCAGATGACTCTGACTGTAGTTCAGACCTCGACTCTGATGTTCAGACCAGAATGGCTGTCTCGGCCAAAGCACATTACCTGGAGCCTAAGCTTCCCTATTGGAGGAACCAGACTAATAAACACCTTTCTCACAGAGCCTTTGTGAGAATCAGACCTGTTTTCTAAATTCTCTAGATGATGCCTGGTCCCAGTGACGATATCATTGGCACCATTGAGTCTACAGGAGGGCAATGGATGGGCCCAGCTTACCTAGAGTTGATGAGGATCTTTGGGACTCTAAACAGTGAATACCAACACCTTTTAGCCAGGTTGTACAGTTCTTGGATCCGGGGGTTTGGGCTCTTGAGGAGCTTCAAGAGGGATAAGTTTTTCAATACCTGCCAGGGCCGAGAAATCAGAGGAACACAAGCTTCAGTGCTCCTGAGATAGCCTCTCACTCCCCACCCTGTCTCTGGCCCAGCTCCATTCCACACTGGACCTGTGACTCTTACTGGGACTGTACTGTGTGGGTACGCAGGTTCCCCTAAGTAGGAGCCAAAGTGGGGCATCTCACCGTTTTCAGACGGGTCCGCTCAATTGTTTTGTTGACAGGATGCCTCCTAATGTCCTGTGGTTCCTCAGCTTGTATCTGAGGGAGAGGAAAGAGCTAACATGGGAGAAGGCCCTTGGATGCCTCCACCATGCCTATCTACTAGTCTGAACATGGTTGATCAACGCTGGGTTGGGAAGTTCTTGTCATCTTGGTTTGGGGGCAGAAATGGGGAGGGCATTCTGACTCTCCTGACCTCCTTTCATCCCTTACTTCTCTCCCTTTCCCCAGATGGAAGGCCCTGCCTGCCCTTGGTATGGTTTGACACTTCCTTAGCAAGTCCCCACTAGGAGGCTCACCCCCAGGGTACAGTCCAAAGCCCCACCTTGGAAGCCACTCCACTCTTGGACCGTTTCTTTGCTGATGGACTCATGTCGGAGCTGCCAGGCCTCAAAGACAAAGGGAACAAGACTGCCTCTGGGCACTGCGTGCTCCCTGCCCCTCTCAGCTCAACCAGCACTCAGGCTGAGCCTGAAGGTGTTTGTGCTGAAGCTCCCTGACAGGGGAGCTATGATGTCACTGAAATGTGTGACAGCAGCAGGGCTGGGTCTCCAGAGAGTAGTGTGTGGCAGGGGTGGAGGTAGTGAGGAGGACACGCCTTACCGGTGGAGAAGTCTAGTGAGTGCCAAGCAGCAGCATACATTGTCATAGGCACCCCTGGAAGTAAGAGGATTGCTCCTTCTTTTTCGATGATGAAACCAAGGCCCAAAGAGGTTCATTCATTTACTCAAGGACACATAGCTGGATAATGGTGGAACGAGAAACCTAACCCAGGCCTGATGGTTAACCTCTGAAACCAGGGCTTTCCCAATCATACTCACGTAGTCTGTCATGTGTAGGAGCATGGTGACTCTGTAGGATAAGCAAGCACAGGGCTGCTAGTCTCAAGGTTGATTCAAACCTACCAGCCACTCTGTAGAAGAAAGATGAGGTTTTCTGCTCCCACAAAGATTCATAGCCTCAGAAACCCTATACAAGGTTGCTATGAGTTGGAACCAACTTGACAACATCTAACAAGAAGTCAGTCGTGTCACATATGTTGACTGGGTGCCAGACATGTGTCGGATACTTTTACAAGGCTGGAGTTAAAGTGCTTATCCTTAAGGAGCTTAGAGTATGGAAGGGAAATAAAAAACAAAAAACTGTGCCTGTAAATTTATAAACAAGAAAATATATAGTACTCTTTATTGTACATTCCATATAGTTCATTGATTCTTACAGAAGGTTCTACTTGATTTTTGCCAAATCTTGTTTCCAGTCTATGGATTAACTGACAAACACGTAGGTGTAGTTTCAACATGAATGTTGATTATTTTCATCTACCTTAGCAAGTAAGAAAAACATGAAACAAAGATGTCAAGTTTACTCATTTGTCAATAACAAGATCAATTTATTTACTAAATTGGATCATAGTTTTTGAATACTGTAAATGTATTTTCTCAGATTTTGATGTGCTATTCATAATGTAACAGCTACAGAAATAACATGTTTAAGTTTAATATGCATTATTAAAATTTTCTCCAGTACTTTCTTAAGTGTAGACCAAGGGTTGGCATATTTCTTCTGTAAATGGCCAGATAGTAAATACATTAGAATTTGCAGATCAGATCATCTCGGTGGCAACAACTCAACTCTGCCATTGTAGTGTGAAAGCAACTGGGAACAAAATAGAAATGATTGGGTGTGGCTGTGTTCCAATAAAACTTTATTTACGAAAACAGATGGTGGGTTGGATTTGGCCTGCCGGTTTTGCAGTGTCTTATGTTGACACTTGGTCTAGACAATCAACAAAACATCAAAACCTGATTGGTCTCATTTGCTTATATCACCAAAGCTGCTCATGTCAAGCAGCTAGTGTGATGCCATTGAGCACAGGGTTGTAAACAGATGCACAGTTGCATGTTAATATATATTTCTACCATCTAAATATTACAGATAAGGAGCTCTGGTAGCGGAGTGATTACGAGTTGGGCTGCGGACCTCAAGGTCAGCAGTTCAAAACGACCAGCTGTTTTCATGGGAGAAAGATGAGGTGTTCTGCTCCCGTAAAGATTTACAGACTCGGAAACCTTATGCAGGATCGTTATGAGTCAGAACTGACTCCACTGCACATAACAACAACAACCAATATACAGATTAGTCATCTCAAGAGCACAAGTATTAGTAAAATGTAGTAAAATAAAACAAGAAGTGATGAGCTTGCACATTTTTTTACTTCTTTTTTTTTTATACTTTCTTTTTAGTGAAAATATACAAGCAAACCCAGCTCCCATTCCATAGTTTCTAGACATGGTCAGTGGCATTGGTTATGTTCTTCACGTTACGTCAATATGCTCCTATCTGGTTGCTTCACCCTTGTTAACGTAAACTCCTGGCCTGCCAAAAGGAGCTCTGGTAGTCTAGCGGTTATGAGTCAGGCTGCTAACCTCAAGGTCGGCGGTTCAAAACTACCAGCTGTCCCGCGGGGGAAAGGTGAGGCTTTCTGCATCTATAAAGATTTGCCTCAGAAACCCTATACAGGGTCACTGTGAGTTGGAACCAATACCACAGCACATAACCACCACCACCTGGCCCCCAACCTTCTCATCTGTGCTTTTAAATAGCTGTAGGCCGTTTGGTGTTATGCAATTAAAAAATAATAACAATAGTCAAGATTGGCAATTTTTACTTTTTGAATAAAATGCTCTCTTAGTTTAAAGGGGACTTCACGGGCTCCTTTCAATTCAAGGTTATGAGAGTTAATCAAGATAATAGGAGTCTTCAGGACTCTTCCAGCTTCAGTAGGTCCAATAAGTTCGGATTCTTTGAGAATTTGAAGTTCTGTCCCACATTTTTCTCCCTTTTTATTATTATCTGTATTTTTTAAGATTACTTATTAATTGTAACTTTCTTGTTGGTAGGTGCCATCGAATTGGCACCAACTCATAGCGACCCTATGCACAACAAAATGAAACACTGCCCAGTCCTGGGCCAATCTCACAATTGTTGCCACACCTGAGCCCATTGATGCTGCCACTTTGCCAGTCCATCTCACTGGAGGTCTTCCTCTTTTGCTCTGACCCTCCACCTTACCAAACATAATATCCTTCTCCAGCAACTGGTCCCTCATATGTCCAAAGTATGAGAGACGAAGTCTTGGCCTTCCTGGCCTCCAAGGAGCACTCTGGCTGCACTTCTTCCAACACAGATCTGTTTGTTCTTTTGGCAGCCCATGGCACTTTCAATATTCTCCTCTAACACCATAATGCAAATGCACCAATTCTTCTACAGTACCCCTTATTCACTGTCCAACTTTCGCATGCATATGACATTGAAAATACCATGGCTTGGGTCAGGCACACCTTAGTCCTCAAACTGACATCTTTATTCATCAACACTTTAAAAAGGTCTTGTGCAGCAGATTTGCCTAATGCAATACATCATTGGATTTCTTGATTGCTGCTTCTATGAGTGTTGATGGTTGATCAAAGAAAAATGAAGTCTTTGACAATTTCAATCTTTTCTCCATTGATAAGAATGTTGTTTATTGGTCCAATGGCGAGGATTTTTGTTTTCTTTACATTGAGATGCAATCTATACCGAAGGCTGTGCTCTTTGATCTTCATCAGTGAATATTTTAAGTCCTCTTCACTTTCAGCAAGCAAGGTTGTATCATCTGCATATCACAGGTTATTAATGAGTCTTCCTCCAATCCTGATGCCATGTTTTTCTTCATAGAACCCAGCTTCTCAGATTATTTGCTCAGCATACAGGTTGAATAAGTATGGTGAAAGAATACAACATTGTCGCACATGTTTCCTAATTTTAACCCATTCAGTGTTCCCATGTTCTGTTCGAACAACTGCCTCTTGGTCTATGTACAGATTCTTCATGAGCACAGTTAAGTGTTGTATAATATATATAAATGATGTCTGTGCTTAGTAACTGGCCTAGAAATGTAGCAGTTGCCTCTTGCTAGCCATTATGAGCCAGTTTCCACTCACCACTATTATGTGGGATGGAAATCAGTGGAACAAAGTAGACAGATTAAAGAGGACAAGGAAAGTTCAGGTGGGGTTCTGCTGTGTGAAAAGGATAGTTGGGGAAAGATTCACCAATGCGAGGACTTTTGAGCAAGACTTGAAGGAAGTTAGCACAAGGGAGGGTGACGGTGGTAGGCCTTGGGGGCACAGAGGGAACTGAAGTGTGGAGGCTTCCTAAGGACTCAGAGTGCTGGGAAACCCGGCCACCTAGCTGACTGCATCAGAATCTGGAGAGTTTATGGGTAACACTGCTTCTCAAGCAGCACCCCAGTAGGTCAATCTGATCTTCAACCAAGTTTGGGAACCACTCCATTCCATACTGCTTCTAAATGGGAGAAGTATGCATGTGTAGGGAGTGCTTAACACTGTCTTTTAGGGCCACATCGAGCCTAGACTGGAAGTTTCTGATGTGGTTAATGTCCTTTATTATTAGGGTGAGGGTGGAGTGGGGAGTTTGAGGTGCTGCTGTGGCCCAAGGAAGAAACCAAGGGGTGATTTGGAAGGTAAGACCTCACTCTCCTCTTTCCTCCAATACTCCTTGACCTCTGTTTGCTTAGGCATCCTGCTTCTTGCTAGCACGCTCTCACTTCTAATCAGCGGGTCTCTCCTGGCCTCTGGCTGCTCTGAGATCCTGTTACCTGGTGGACTGCAACAGAATCATGTACACCTGGGCTCCACGTGCTGGGGTCCCACTGTGTGCTGGTACCGAAGACAGCAATGCTTCTGGCATAGCATACCTCCCCTCAAGGCCAGGGGTTTTGTATATTTGTTTTAATTTAGAGCCTAAAATCATGGCTGGCATATACTAATGCCCAATAACTGCTGAAGAAAATAATAGAAATAAATCTAAAGATTAGGTAAAACACTGATGAAAAAAAATCAAAAAAAGCCTAAAGAAATAGATAATAACATAATCACAGATTGGAAGACTCACTGGGTTTTGTTTTTTTTTTCTGTAAAAAAAAACTTGTTTATTGTGTTGGGCATTGGGGAGGGTATTATGTCTAGTTCCCTTTTTTACTTCTTTTTTTTGCGGGGGGGAAGAAAACATTTACTAAACACATATTGGATACAGGGCTTGCATCTAAAATATACAAAGAATTTTTAAAACTCAACAATAAGAAAACAATCAACCCAAATACAAAGCAGACAAAAGATCTGAACAGAAACATCATCAAAGAAGATATACAGATGGAAAATAAGTGTATGAAAAATGCTCAACATCATATGTCACTAGGGAGTTGTAGGCCAAAACAACAATAAGATACCGTACCTATTTGTTGTGATTAGTTTCCATCACAATCTACTCAGGGCAACACTATGCACAACAGGTTGAAGCATTGCTTGTTTC